GCATGAGGAGTCCCTGGAGGGAAGGCTCGGAAAGAGCCTCAATATCCGGTTTTTGTATGGATGAGCAGCCAGGATGTTTGGTGGTTTTGGTTTTGAGAGAGCTGAGATCATCGACAGGGGCTAGTTATATGAGGACAAGAGACCCATCAGCAGTTAACTCGGACAGAGAAGCAGAGAAAGCAAAGAAGCCGGGCCAGCATATCTCCTGACCATCCTCCTCGACCATCCCTATCCTCCCAAATTATCCGGGAAGGCCACCTTCTCTTAGCATCACTAAGGGACTAATCCTTGCATACATAACAAGGCGGCTAAGGCCTCGTCAGAGCAGCAAAGCACCCAGTGTGTATATACCGGTTAAAGGGACCGTCCGCAGCTGAAGGGCATCCGAATCAACCTCCTTTGCAAGCCCTAGTGGCCTTTATTTTTGGCTGACAAGGGAGTGAAGCTGTTGATATCAACCCTCTGCTGGCTGTCACTGGTCAAATCCCCCCCTCGTCCCCAAGTCCCCAAGTCTCTCTCTAGCCGCCTGAGCCCTGTTACTGCCCCACGCTTCATCACATCAAGTCACAGCAAGAAAAGGACATAATTTTTACTCCTGTCTTCTGTACTGCTTTCTCTCCTGCTATTCTGCTTTTTCCCCTTCCCGAGATAACTAGAAGAGTGAAGTGGGTGAGCTGGTGCCGGTTCTCTCTCTCGTTTGGATAACGACCGCTCCCCCAGGCGCATCAGACCAGGTAAATAAACCACCCAGACCTCCCCGTCCATCGTCCTGCCGCCTGCTTGCTCGACCATCACCATCACCACCCGCCGTCTGGCCTCCCTCACTTTGCTCTACTCTGGCTTCTAGACGGGGCGAGGGTCCGCCTGTCTTACCTACCAACCTCACCTCTCTCATCGTCCCCTCCTACCCCCCTTTTTTTCCCTTTTCTTTTCTTTTCATCCTCCTCTTCCCCCACCACCACCACCACCACCAAGCAAGCAAGCAATCCTGTCGCCTTTCACTCCTTCTTCCCTCCTCCTCCTCCTCCACAACCCGTCGATGCAGCAGTGCTCAAAGACCGAACAACGAGCCCAAGCTGTCTGCTCCTCCTTCTCCGGCTCATCAAACCTCGAATAGATAGACCCGGAGACCCACTACTCCCGTAGTCTGTCCCTCTATTTAACAACTATTATTTTATCTTTTTCCACTCCAAAAAAGACCGAACCAGAAACTCAATTAAAACCTCCCCCTTCGACGCTCGAGGAATCGCTGCTTGTCCTCTTGCTTCCTTTTGCCTCGGGCTTCTGCGTCTCTGGCTCTGCAAGAACTGCGAGAAGACGCCCTGCCTTGTCTCCGGCCAATTTGTGGATTGTCTTGTCTGGCGCCCCGGTTCCGGTTCTCCCTTTTCGCCGTGCCTTTCCCTGTCGACCTAGATAGGTACATGCGAGCGCGAAGTGACGGACAACATGGCAGATCTTCAAGGACGGAAGGTCTTCAAGGTGTTTAACCAAGACTTTATCGTCGATGAGCGCTATAATGTCACCAAGGAGCTGGGCCAGGGAGCCTACGGCATCGTCTGGTATGTGTGTCCTTTTTTTTTTTCACTCCCTCTTCCTTTTCCCCTGGGTCCTTCGTGCGGCTGTTTTGGTGCCCCGCATCCAGTCAGTAGAAACAACATCCCGCCAGCATCGTCACGCAGAAGCAGCAGCAGCAGCAGCGAGGAGAGCAACGAGCAACAGCTAATGCGACCTGGAAAACTGATAGTGCTGCCTCCAACATCCAGACCAACGATGGTGTGGCCATCAAGAAAGTCACAAATGTTTTCAGCAAGCGTATTCTGGCCAAGCGGGCCCTGAGAGAGATCAAGCTGCTACAGCACTTCCGTGGCCATCGCAACGTACGTTTTGGCCGCACTGCACTCCATTGTACTCGGGCTGATGAGATCTAGATCACCTGTCTCTATGATATGGACATTCCACGGCCGGAAAACTTCAACGAGGTGTACCTGTATGAAGGTATGTGGCTTATATATATTTACTGCAACTAAAGTCGGCAATTTTCACTATAACAGAAACTGACGGATACCAGAACTCATGGAGTGTGATCTTGCGGCTATCATTCGTTCAGGACAGCCCCTTACGGACGCCCATTTCCAGTCCTTCATCTACCAGATTCTATGTGGACTAAAATACATCCATTCGGCTAATGTGCTGCACCGTGACTTGAAGCCCGGTAACTTATTAGTCAACGCCGACTGTGAGCTGAAGATTTGCGACTTTGGCCTTGCTCGTGGATTCTCGATTGACCCTGATGAGAACGCTGGATACATGACCGAGTATGTTGCGACAAGATGGTACCGTGCTCCAGAGATCATGTTGAGCTTCCCAAGCTACACCAAAGCCAGTGAGTCCATCCTATATATACCAGTTAGCCTATAAGAGATACCATTGAGACTAACTGTTCCTTACTAGTTGATGTGTGGTCCGTTGGATGTATTCTTGCCGAGCTGCTTGGAGGGCGACCTTTCTTCAAAGGCCGTGACTACGTCGACCAGCTAAACCAGATCCTCCACTACCTTGGAACCCCCACCGAGGAGACTCTCTGCCGTATCGGCTCCCCACGCGCCCAGGAGTACGTCCGCAACCTACCCTACATGCACAAACAGCCCTTCGCCAGACTATTCCCCAACGCCAACCCGGACGCTCTCGATCTCCTCGACCGAATGCTCGCCTTTGACCCTTCATCGCGTATCAGCGTGGAAGAGGCCCTGGAGCATCGCTACCTGCACATCTGGCATGATGCAAGCGATGAACCCAACTGCCCTACCCCCTTCGACTTCCACTTTGAGGTCGTCGATGATGTGCAGGAGATGCGACGCATGATTCTTAACGAAGTACAGCGTTTCCGCGACCATGTGCGCCAACCTTCTCATATCCAGGCTGCTCTTGCCCAGCAGCTACAACCCCAGCAGACCAATGTGCCTATCCCAGAGGACAAGGGAGCTTGGAGACACGAAGATCCACGTCCACAGGAAGCAGTGTTTGATGGAACGAGCGAACACGATCTTGAAGCATCATTACATAGAGGCATGGACATGATTAGATAAATAGCGGGTCTGTATTCAGAACGACGCAAAGAGCGCAACAAAGAGATGGAGGGAGACTAATCTGCAAATACCAGCCAGCTCAAGGACGATGGGAGGGGGATAAAAATGGGTATTGTTCACATCGAGGCTTTCGCCCGTCCTTTTGCCTCGCCCTCTTTATACTCTTGTTTTTTTTGTTTTTTTTTGATATTTGGATATCCTTTTTGAATGGTTCAAAGCACTCTACGCTGTTTTATTTTGTGTCCTTTTTATCTTACACTTCCCTTTTTTGCTCTTCTTCTATGCGGTCTGGGCTAAATTTTAACATGAGACGATGCGGTTTCCCATATATGGTACAAAAATTTACTTGATACTATTTTCAATAGAAAAACCCTTTGCTTTGTACTCATTTTAACTCAATTTCTATGAAGAAGTTTGGTTTTCAGACAAATATAATCACAGCTATTGTTTTCTAGTTTATAGATGACAGATGATAGTCATCTAGATAGTCATAATAAAGGAAGACTTAAGAGACTAGCCGGTCTCTACAAGGAGGTATATATAGGAAGTAGAGGGGAGTGTTCTTTTCATCCTGGCTAACAAGGGTGTAGGATGGAAAGGGAGCAAAGGAAAAACACCAAACCAACATGAGTTTAAAAACGCCAACGCTATGCATCCACCCTCATTAGAAATAGGGAAGAGAATATACGAGGAAATGTGATAATAATACACCGGTCGAAGGGAGTAGTTATGGCTTCCGCTTGAAACCGGACTTTGCCGTGTTTTTTGGATCGAAAAGGAAGTTTGGTATCCAACAAGGTCACATCGAGATGTAGTCGGCGGGAAACATCTAAACAGACTTCTCAAGCAACTCCTTTGCTTCGTTGATCTTCGTGGCGAGGTACGGGCTGCCGCCTCGATCGGGATGGTTAAGGAGCATCAGCTTGCGGTGGTTCAAGCGGACTTTGTCTTTGGTAAGAGTTCGTTCACTAAGGACAATATTAGTTACTGTACTATCTGTCTATCGATTTTTCATTGTAGAGGAGAGGAAGGATCTTCTCGGATAAGTGGGTGGACGTACGAGAGAGATAGGATGAGAGAAGCCTCCCTCCTGTTCATCTTGGGCTCGAATCCGCCCTTGTAGAATGCACGGCCAGCACCGTTGACGCCTCCTCTGTATCTGCGCAGGGCAACTAGACCTGCTCGACCCTGTACGGATATTAGTTCCTGATGCTGTGCTGTTGATGTTCAATGGGACTTACGAAGAAAGCGGCCGCGGCAACACCAACACCGATAGCGACGACGGAGGTCATTTTTGGCGAAAGAGAGTGTATTTCTGTGCAGGAAACAAGTATGCGACGCCCGAAATGTCTGTCGATAGCTCGTCGGCTGGACTGCGAAGTTCTTTGCTCGGATTCTTCCCTTCTCGTTCTCGAGATTTGCGAAAAGGCGAAGAGAAGAGAAAAAAGTTATATAGACTTCGCCCGATTGGGACTAGCGTGGAAAAGCCACCCGCAACGTCAAGAGAAAAAAAAAAAATTAATTGAATGGATTTTGATAGAAGAAACAAACGACAAGATTGAATATATTTGAAAGTATTAGTTATATAAGATAGTCATCGACCGGACTCCAACATGCGGTAAGTAGACTCTTCGAGAAGTGCTATGGACAGCTTAGACTAACAGGGGAGTGTTGTAGGGTTGAGACTTGCCATTTCTGCTCACAGCCGGTGTATCCCTCCAAGGGGATAACATTCGTGCGCAACGATGCTCGACAGTTCCGCTTCTGCCGCTCAAAATGCCATAAGAACTTCAAGATGAAGCGTCAACCACGCAAGCTGAAGTGGACCAAGACACACCGAGCTCTGCACGGCAAGGAGATGATAGTAGACTCGTCGCTGGTCCTCTCACAGTTCGCCAAGAAGCGCAACGCACCGGTGAAATACGACAGGAACCTGGTGGAATCAACGATCAAGGCCATGAAGAGAGTGGAAGAGATCCGGCAGCGAAGAGAGAGGGTATACACGAAGAGACGGCTGGCAGGCAAGATTGCCAGGGACAGAAAGAGAGCCGAGGACAGAAGAGTTGTCGCGGAGGGCGAGCATCTTATCCGCAAGGAGCTCAAGGAGATGGCAGAGGGGACCAAAAAGCCGGAAGACCTGCTCAACAGAAAAGTCGGCCTGCCTGTTGGAGAGGAGAAGCTGCGTGGGAAGCAGAAGTCCAAGCTCTTGGTCGACGGCGGTGTGGAGGAGGAGATGGATCTCGACTAGATCCGTTGACTGTTCTTTGCATCTTACGCCCTTGCTTTTTTTCTTTTCGTCTGCTTTCTTACCTACCTGCTTGCCGGTTTACCATGCTGCTGGCAACAGATATCATTATGCTGGATTCCCCTGTTTTTGAAAAGATTTAGGCGTGTACTCTCCCTTTTTTTTACCTGCGATGGCGTTTGAATGGGTAGGGAAAAGAACTTTGATATATCCTTTCTTTTTTTTTACATTCTATCATTCTATGCTCTTTCTGGCTCCTTTCTCTTCTACTCTGTTTACATTCTCTTGTTTACTCTGCAGCTTCCCTGCATGAATGGTGGTCCAGATGTTTCTGTGGTGGTGAATATCAGAAAACATAAATACCCCCTATTCTGCCAGCACCTCTGATCCCGCTGAGATAGGGCCTATGATATACCAAATATACCTGATCTGTCCTCTATATACCATGTCCTGCTCCCCTATATACCTAGCAACGCCGGATCAATGTCCGTCGTGCGGGATCAGCGGCCCTCGAGGGCGAGTCCTCGGCGTGATCCTAGGGCTTCAATGTTACTCGATTAGGAAAGTGTGTTGTTCCCGCCACACATATAAAAAGGCCTTTTTTTTCCCTCACCTCCTCGACTTTGTCCTTTTTCTTCTTCTCTTCTTCTCTTCGGCCGCGCAGACACTTCCACCTCGACATCGAGAAAGACGACAAGCAAGCAAGAAAAGACAAGAAGATATCCTCTACGGAGGAAGAAAAGCCTCTCTGCCGCCCCCAGACACCACCACCAATCCCTGCTGCAACTCTTCCACCTCCACCACCGCAAAGCAGCAGGCCTCTCCTCCGCCTCCCTCCGTCGCTGCCGCTCCTTTTGAGGGTATGTTTGTTCACTTGCCAGCATCTTCTGCTCTGCTATAGACCAAGCTAACCAGAGACACAGGCAGCTAGACCCCAAAAGACAACAGTCTTTTACTCTCTTCCTTTGCGTCGAACGTGAGTGCTCATCCTCTCCCCCCAGCCCGGTCTCTGCTTGATATGATGCCCCCTTACCCCCTATTACTTTCTTCACGCGTTGATACGCGTTCTACTCCTCGACTTCATCCCCTTGATGAGCATGGCTAACGTACTGGTAACTAGAACGCCAAAATGTTGTTCGCCTTTATCGGTCTTGTGGCAACCTTGACAATATGGAGCTCGATAGCTTCATTGCCCATGACCGCCGTCACCCCTCGGGACGGCTTCGGCAGACGGTTGGCTGGGTCCATTACGGCCAGCTTAGTGACCATCGGTGCGTACGAGGTCACGAAAGAGGTAGTCATCACTGCCAACAAAACCAGTGACTACCTTTACCGTTATCTAGAGACGGAAGACCTTCCAGTAGAGGTGCTTGCACCTCTACCCGATTCTGTCTCTAGCCGCCTCCCGACGTTCGAACTATGGCTCGCAGTCCCTCCGGCCAAACTCGCGTATCTCCACGACCTCCGAAATGCAGTGGAGAAACACGACACTCTCAACAAGCGCACGTTATGGTACCTGCTAAATACCCTACCATCTCGCTGCTCGAGTGCTGCCGTCGCTGTCCCAGGTGCAACCCCAACCCACCGTGCAGACAGTCTCTCGCCCGCCAATTCCCTCGAGTTTCTGTCTGCCGGTGCCTACCTGGGACTCATCCTCGCGTCATTGGCCCTTGGCCGATGTTTAGGGGCCCGTTACCTTGTCCCCGCGAGCGACGACGACAGTTTGGCCCTCCTCCCCGTTGGAGCATCACCGGCTCTGCCACACCGGGTGGTAACCGGCCTCCAGTGGGAAGTGAGAACGGAGTTCGTAAACGGCTTACCTCTGATGTGGGCTTCCCAACCCTACATCAGCTCTGAGCTGCTTTGCTGGATTGCTGAGACGGAGAACCTCCACTTACCAACCCCGCAACCCGACCACACCACCAAACGGCAGACTGAGGCCCGTCCTGGACCTCAGCGGCAGGCGTTAGTACTTAGACGCCTGGCCAACATCTCGCCGTTCGTCTTGATTCAAATCGTTAGGCTCCTCGCATCTGCCCTCGAGGGCTGGACCCCAGCTTCGCCAGAATCTGGGTCGCAACCATGCCTCGACAGTGCAGAACCTCTACGGGAACCCAAGAAAAAGAAGCGTAACCGACCCGGCCAAAAACAACGTCGACGCCAATGGATAAGAGACATGCACGCCATGCAAGACAAGGCCGTACAGGAGGCCGGGGGGAAGTCACAGTCGTAAGACTGTGTTCCGACCTTCGTCTTCTGTCCGATTGTATGGTGCTTCATGCCTCACGGATACAGTACTGACATAGCCGCTCCTCCCAATCCTACCGGCATTCTGTCAGCCCTTCTCAGTGCCTAGATGAAGACATCGGGTGAAGGTGCCGTGTGATTGTCCCCCCCTTTTCTCCTCTTTCCTGTCGGTGTCTTCGCCTCCCACTGGTTCCCTCGGGGGCTGGTTGGCGTAGGTGAAGATTCCGTTGGTTAGTTGGAGACTGGGCTGGGTATTGCACGTCGCTGGACCTCGTGGTTTTCGTTTAGGTATCTGGTTGGGTAAAGCAGGGTGTCGGTGGCAGTATTGTGGCCAGGCTATGCTTGCTGTATTCAATTATCCATTCCATTGGGAGAGGAACGAGTTGAGACACGATTTGAT